AACTGTAGTACCCATTAATCTCCCCAAAATCTTTATTTAGAGTTTTTTTAAATACAAATTTTATTTTAAAAGCATTATGTTCATTTGAATCTGTTATATTCAATCTGGTACGTACATGCAGCGCTTCCGGCCCGACCTCACTCAAACCCTGATTTTTTGTAGGCAAAATTAACTATCGCTACAAGAGTTGTTTATTGTGTTCGTTTTCTACATGTACAATGATTTATGTTGACGCAGGTGGACCCCATGTTTCCTGATATACCTTGCCTCTACTATACCTGCTATATGGCTTCTACAACTGAACCAATACGACCGTTTCAAGAATCCCAGCAAGTGGACAACAACTGTCACTCCTCTACCTGTAACCGCCACAAGCTCTACACCTGTAACGAACGTGACAGTTAATGGTACGGATGTGCCAATACAGAATACAACATTTGTCACAGACATGTTGAATTTTACCACGATTAATACAACCATTACAACAACACCAGAACCTGATGAGGTAAATACATTTTAGACAGGAATTGTACTCTCACATGTAATGTTATTATAGTACCATCATAATTACTGTACTTGAAAAATAGTTCCATCATAGTTACTGTGCTTGAAAAATAGTACTTTCATAATCACTATACTTGCAAATACTTGCATGCTTTGAAGCAAGTGTCTCTTACTGAATGATTCACCAGCATTTTATCAGAATTACAAATACAATGTATTTATAGTCTCGCATGTGCGTACTAGTTCAGCTATATCTTTTACAATGAGTGGTATTCTAATATGATTTTGATTTTCAGGGCCGTTTCTTTATATTCAAAATTTCATATTGTATTTTAAAAAAGGAATAATTATATGCACCTTGTATGTGAATTATTTTTACTCGAAATACTCAATACCCGGTATTTCATCACTCCTTACCATGCAATTTTACCATTTCTACCAAACAGTTTTATTTGAAGGACTTTAAAATGATTATGTTTATTCACAGCCTGTTTTCGGCACATTAAACAATGATGTATGGGTTATCATAGTTGAGGAATCGCTTGTATACCTGCTTGTCTTCAGTCGATGGCTGCTTCCACGTGGTGAAGTCTCGCGAGATTTCCTAGCCGATTTATTGCTAGAGTTCCTGGCTATTGCATCTGACATAATGGAATTGCTGGCAGTTTTCGACGAAGAAGATGTTCGAAGTAATTTGAAGCTTACCTACGTTATATTGGCTGTTTGGTCAGCGAGTTTCATTCAGTTCATTCCTATATTTATGCAGAAAAAACGATTTCGTAGGGCACGTTCCCCGAATGTTGAGTTCCTAACAAGGCATTGTGGGGACAAGTTCATTGAGATTGTGGTAACATGTATGAGTATCTTCCTACAAGATTTACCTTTCCTTGTAGTGAGGTTATACATCATTATAGAGGTTAACCTGATTACATACAGTCTGATATTCTTCTTGTTGAAGAACATTGTAACTTTGATGTTATTGTTCTACAGGTTAGGTATTCTCTGCTACCGACTTCCGCACTGCAAAGGAAAACCCGCATAAATACAACCATAGTTATACAATGTTACCATATGTAATTATATATTACTAGTACCATTAATAGAATATAATTAAGTATTATACTGAAATTATATAGCTGTTCAATATAAACATGTAACTGTTGATCCAAATACCGCCATTTTATAAATGCGCATGGGAATAGGTCATTCATCTGGATACGTTATGCTGTATTTGGTTTTTGTTTCCGGTTTGATTTAATTAAAGTAAAGTCGACAAAAAGTGACTCGACTACCCATTGTTATTGGTGAAGGAAGACCGCAGGTATCCGTCTGTTACAGCGGTCCCTGGTGGGATTTGAACATACAGGAGCGGTGATGGACAGATGATGAAAGTTAAGCCATCAACGTAAGCTAACAGGACAAAGAGGTCTCTGAACGATACAATGCATATTTCGTATGAATCTGCAGATTGTGTAAAACCTACATATAGCTGGACTGTTGATACTTGTACTGGAATAAAAAGTTTCTACAACAAACAATATTGAAGAAAGCTCCTGATACACTGATAATGGACAAGTGCATAAACAAAAAAAATATTTTATTTCATCTGTATAGAGCAGAATTGTTTTTTTTTTATTTTGTATGGTATTACATTGTTATTCTAAAATATATATGTCTATATTTATAAATGAACTGATGTTTCGTTGTTTGTCGTCTGATGGTTTGAATAAAATCGTCAGATTTCTAATTCGTATATTGCAATGTTTACATTCCTCTTTCTTACGTACATTATATTTACGCGCATTTAATTTCGATACTTATATTTCACCATCTGCACGTCTTTCAAAATTCCCATACAAATTTGAATAAAAAGTATTCACGCTGTTTTCGTTGCATTGTAACACAACAGGTAGAGAGTTATTTTATACACCAAAATTGAGATAAATGGATATAAGTTTATATAAAAAAGAAAATATCAATCTTTATCAAGAGCTGAATCTTAACATACAATTATTAACATTTTTCTCTCCAAAAGCTTTTCAAAATTGTTTAGATATGCATTTATTTCTATTTGCCAGACAGCATTCTGTTTAGTCTATATTTGGGAACTAATTCAATGGTAGGATACTACGTCATCGCGCACCTGCTGAATGCTCCCACTTGGACCATTTTTTCGTCGATTCGAAGGTAAAATACAATTTTATTATAAGAAAACGTAAGAGTATTAAAAAATCATGTAGCGCACCAAAGAATGGCTATAGTACTTGAGATAATTGATAAAAAAGTTTATAGATTTATTGCCTGGTTTAAGCCTGAAAACGGGATTAAGTGTTTTTTCTCTGAATGCTCCCACTCGGACTTTTCCCGAAACATATGAAATAAGGTTGAAAACCTTCTTGAAAATTATTTTTAACGTACCGGAACATAAACCGAGTCATGTTTATCCATTTTTTCTAGATTAGTTTCAGATATTTCCATTCAGAAATCAGTTTTTCTTAATTCTTTTTATAAAAATTGAAAATGCTCCCACTCGGACTCATCTTCAGAGATGCTCCCACTCGGACCTAAATAAAGACATATTTTGAAAGCACATTGCTGTGTTAAGAATTTATTATTTTTTCAAAATATCTTCATATTCAAGTTCATATATTCATATTATCAGTTAGAATTCAATGAAACAGCATTTTTAAAATACGATACTAATATTTAGATCAGTAAATTGTGACATATTGTATCATAACAGTCTCGTAAATATGTCTTCTAGCTGCCTAAGAATAAGGAAAAAAAGGTTGTGTTTAAATAATTCCTCGTTAAATAGAGTCGCTGAAATAAGAAAAAATTGATTATACATTTTAAAAATATAATAACGTTTTGTTTTGCAGAAAGTATTTGTGATTGTGACCAGTATGAGAAAAGGTATAAACCACATTGCGACGTAAGGAAGCACATGGCAGGACACCTTGACACGGCATAGCTGGAGCAAATATTTTAGATACCAACTGTGGATATATCTCAGTGAGGAGGAATACTCTAGAAAACACAAGATTTGTAGCTCTTTGAAGTAATTGTCTTTTGTTCAGTTTTTGCGTTAATCATTGGGCAATGTGTCATAAAGGATCAATTTATCTGAAACTTCACTGGAGGATAGATATACCACAAACAAGAATGACAACTCTCCAGGTTTGGAGTTTTTGCTTTTTGTATTCACTATGATTAGTTTGCAAGGACCATACCTCTAAAGGTATTTGAGATATAAACTTGAAACTTTATATTGAACAAAACTTCCGTATGCTGTTTTTAATTTAAGAAAACAACACTGGGACAGTGCAGATAGAAGTGAACTAGCAGAGCATAATGCCCAGAAGTGTTCACTTAATGCTTCTTTGTTGTTTTTTCTTTGTTGTTTTTTCATGGGAGTGTTATTTTTGTCATGATTTATTATTTCTAGGCTATAACTTTTCATTAATTTTCACGAGTGTCATTACTTGGATTTTTACATGTATGTAAGGGTTACTTCCCCTATGAAATGTATTTCCTCCTTTTCGGCGGGGGATTTTACTGTCTGTGATTCCTCCTTGTATGATTGTTATTATTTTAACGTCATTTAAATATCCTAAAATTAACTTTGGTTTTATATAATAAATATAATGCTCAAATGAAGATTTATCAATATTGTATGTTCCAAAAAGCATTATTTTTAAAGATAATACCGAATTAATATTTCATAAAGGGAGGTAATTTAAGAAATATATTTTCTTTTAAGTGTAAGTTGAATTCTTAAATAAGAAATGAATGCATACATGTATATTTTAATCATTACATATAATGTGGACAAGCATTTGCAGTAAGTATTTCACATATTCCTTAATGTTTGAAAATTGTTTTAGAAGCATAATTATATACATATATATAAAATTTCAATTGTAATTACCAAGATATGGTAAAGACTGTGATAAAGAAATAACTGTGATCTTTGTTTTCTTATTTATTTAATTTTGTTATTTTAGGTAAAAATACGTACATATGATAACTTTCATACTTAAAAATGTCAAAGTTGTCAATAATTGTGATGCATGCTTTATATGCCATGGTATGGCAGTACATTGACTTTTTAACCAGTTCATGACAAAAATGATTCACATGTTGTTCTTTAATAAACTATACAAAACAGCCGATAGATATTGACTTCTTTATGTTCATAAACGTACTATTATGTTGTTATAAAATCTAAATCACAAGTTTAACAAACACGCAAATCATTGGGTTTTAAATTATTAATAACAAGATATTAAAGTCAGCAATTATTGAATAAATGCAGGCCTCTAATATGTGTACGAGTCCAACAGAATCTTAATCCAGTATGGTACTAAACAATGTATAATGACTTCTTTATAAAGCACCACCATTGTTTAAACATCTCAAAAAAAAACTTTATTCTTGAGATCCAAACTGTTCATTTAAAGTCTTATAGTCCTATCTTTGTTGTTGGCAATAATTTTGAATCATCCCTTCGGATCCAACATAAGCCAAGTGCACCTTTTTGTAAAGTGATCCTGTCAGTTGAAACTTTGCCATGGCACCGGGTCCCCCCAACGACGTAAGAAGTGATCTCTGTAAAAAGAAGTGTAAAAAGAAGTAAAAGTTAATGTCGCAAAACTAGTTATTGACAAAATGTTTTAAAAATTGTAAGAATAATCCATAAAAGCTTGGCACATCAATGTGCTTTCAAAATGTATATAGTTGGGTCCAAGTGGGAGCATCTCTGAAATCGAGTCCAAGTGGGAGCATTTTCCATTTTTATAAAAAAAACTTTCAAAAACTGACTTTTGAATAGACATATTTGAAACTAATCTGGAAAAATGTGTAAACATGACTCGGTTTATATTCCGGTACGTTAAAATAATTTTCAAGAAGGTTTTCAACCTTATTTCTTATATGTTTCGGGAAAAGTCCGAGTGGGAGCATTCAGAGAAAAACACTTATCCCGTTTTCAGGCTTAAACCAGGCAATGAATCTATAAACTTTTTTTACAATTATCTCAAGTACTATAGCCATTCTTTGGTGCGCTACATGATTTTTTAATACTTTTACGTTTTCTTATAATAAAATTGTATTTTACCTTCGAATCGACGAAAAAATGGTCCAAGTGGGAGCATTCAGCAGGTGCGCGATGACGTAGTATCCTACCATTGTAATTTATCATCATTTTAACTGAATGACAATGTAACCGTTTCATTGCCTATAGCATAGATAGAATTACGTCTAATGACTGTCTGGAAATTTGATGAACCTATAATTGTCCTGTCTTATAATAACCAAGTAATTTGTTTGATAATTTAACCGTATGACGGACCTGTCACTTCTAGCTGTGTCTTTTTTTACATAATGAATCACCCAATTTTTTTATAAAAGAAATGGTTTGTTATTTATGTGATGAAACAGTATAAACATTTACTTACTTCCGTTAAATGAGCTTCCGGTTTTAATGGGATATGACGTATATAGCATCCATACCTTTATGTAACACCTGTATGCATCCAACAACGAACTTTACGTTTGTCCTCCGCACAGCACGGTGTCATTTTTGCGCCACAACCATGTTGGATATGTTCAGTTCGAACTAAAGTAGCACTCAGTTTCATAATTTGTATATGTCCCCGTAGGCGAAACCAGTACTTTGGGTTAAATATTTTAAAGGAGTAAGATCAAAGTTTCCAAATGCCTGGTACATTATGTAATTTACTTGAAGAACAACTCTTCATATCCTGGGCATTTTGCGGAGTTTCATCATTGGTATATGTCCTTGTAAAGCGAGATTCGTAGTTTTAGGATGAACACATCTGCGGTAGTCAAAATATATTGACGTGCCAAAGCTTGATTCTGAGATATTTTCGTTCTGGGGCAGAATCTCGCTTTAACGTCAAAACCAAAAGGAGACCTTTCTGTGGTGAAACGTGGATTTCGATGTTAATGTAAAAATGCAGACAATTTAAACTAAGAATCTATTCAACAATACAATTTTAAGGAATCAACAGCACAAAAAGTGCTAGACAATCAACTTAGAAGAAAGTAAACCACGTTAGTTTCATTTCACCGTCTTGTTTGTGTACTAACGCCGCCATATTGTGATGTTGCCACAGTAATGAAACATGTACGCTAAAAATCGATATTGTTCGGTACCGTGCGTGAATGTTGTCATTTTTTGCGTGGCAAAAAAAATATGAAAAACTGTTAAACAGTGCTTATTATTCTTTAATGTTGTTATTATTAATTATATTTATTGCTACATTAAAATAAATCGCCAGGAAATAATCTTTAACTATTTTTTCTAATTGATTTAAATCTTTAAAATGATGCGGAGAAACTTTTAATTTAGACCTCTTTTTTATAAACATGTTTATCAAAGGATAAACAAATACTGTATTTCATTAAAATTTATATTGTCACCACTCTGTAGTATTATCTATGTTAGAATAATTATGTAAGTAATAACTTGCTGCGTATTAAAATCAGCAACTCCTTGCCTAGGAAAGTTTTGTTTTCCAAACGTGCATTACGCTATGATTCAATTGGTAAATTCTTGCGTTAATTTTTCATTCCTTAACAGTTTTCAGAAAAGTAAAACTCGTTACTCCGAGCGCCCATTTTTCGTTTGTCTGCGTGTACATGTACCATTTATCCGTGTAATAAAAGACTGTAATCATAGCATGGCGTAATGGCCTGGATATTTGGGTGTTGTTTAAGCGATGTTCCAGAAAAGGTTTTGTTCCAGTGTAGAAAATATATTCAACCATATATTTATTTTTGAAACGTTACGTGTCAACTATTCCACAACGCCGACACCGGTACGCTGACCAATATAAATTTCGGAAATGTTGACACTG